TTTCGTTTGAATCTTAGCCAAAATTCTTTCAATTTTGAAAGATTAACATCTCAAAAAGATAATTTTGTTTCTAATGTAATAAATATTTTTATTTTATGATTGCTTTTAATACTTTAATACCGAAATAAATGAATGAATGTTGCTAACGAAAAAAGAATCTTTCGAAGAAGTTTTCAAGAAATAATCGAGCTCATTTTAACCCTTATTTAATTATATCACTCAAGTAAATGAGAAACATTTTACTTCTTCTTCTTCTCTCTCTCCCTTCTAGTTAAAGACTGTCTCCAGCTGAAGCGGTCGTAAATAAAAGTATCTACCTCCCACGAAGTAATACTATCCTTGATGATATTGAGCATATATATTGAGTGCATATGTACGACGATTAACCTTGACCTCAAACATCAATACGCCTTCCATCGGTTCATATGTACTGTAGGTATGATTCAGACATTATTTTGCTCTTGTGATTACTTTATCTCAGTCATATCGAAACAAATAGTTTTGTCCAATCTTTCAATAGAATGTCTATTGAAGGACAAATGCTGATTTTTAGTAAAATTTATCTTTTTCGTGATGACTTTGACTAATTCGTATAAAAGTTTTAGAGCGGTAGGACTGAATTGAATTCAAGTTAGCGCTATAACATGGATTCATTATCTCAATGTGTGCTAATGACTAAGATCTTTATATGAAGAATATCAAAAATGAAAATCAAAAGCTTTTTCAATGCATATTTTCATTGAATGCTACAGAAAATATTCTTCAAATAAATTATACTAATATTATCATATGTATTTAGATGCAATTACCACCAAAAAATCGCAATGGTAATGGATTCTGCAGTAAAAAATATTATTTTGTTTGTTTTTCTAAATTTACAATTGAATTTCATTTATAGAAATTGGTCATGTAAAAATAAAAGAAATGATTAGAACATTAGAAGCTAATTCTCGAAAAAGTACTAATTTACTTTCAACAAAAAAGAGTCATGATCTAATTAGCTGTCTTTTTAAGATTCTATCCATACAGTAAATAATCATATAGATTCTACAGTTCGTCAACGTCCATTATCTCAACCATGTACACGTACAGAAACTAATGCTATATTAACAAATAATCATCATCGACAATTTGGTACAACAACTGATGATGCAAAAATTTTATCTTCAACAAAAAATAATTCTCCATCATTTAATAATACTCATCGATCTGATGTATCAATTCGATCAATAACAAAGTATGTTATAGCGAGAAAATCTTAACATAGAATATTTCCTCATTTTTCAGTCACCAAAAGACAACTGGCTAGATAAAGTCCAATATTGTGCTTTGAAAAGCTTCAGCTCTGTATTATTATAGAGTACTCTGTTCTGCACAAAATAAGACATTACCGTCAGCGAAATCTTTTCCATATGTTTCCACTAATGAAATAGCTTCTATCAGAATTGTCATTAGTCAAAAAATGCTTTTAGAGTTTGTCGTGCAAGATAAAATAGAAAAGTAAACAGCATACAGCAGTTAGTGATTTGTCTCGAATCATTTCATGTTTGGTACTATTGAGTTTTGAAAACAATATCTATCGGATACATGCCGGATAAAGTAATCACTTTGTTATGATGGCCATTTGATTCTCACTAACAGCTTCTGACTCTAACCAACTGTGTTTAATTGTCCGAAAAATGAATGAATATTTAATGACGAGATATTCGTGTCTTAGATTATATTTAAATATTTATCTCTTAAAATTCAATTCGATTGATGGATATACTGTTTTTTTTTGTTTGTTTTAGTGAGCAATATGATGAAATGAAATCAATTGTTGAAGCAGTTTGTGCTCGAATGCCTGGAAGTGTTTGTAAACGTGATGCTTTATTAAAATGGTGTGTAGAGAAATTAGCAAATTATGTAAGTAATTGTATTTGCATTAATTTATAGAAAGATTTTATTTAATTAATTAGGAAATACTAATAACAAATTTTTCAAATTCTTGGACAGATGGTATTGCATTTTGTTCATTATTACATTCATATTTACCTGATCGTATTGATCTTGATATGATTAAAAAAGAATCAAAAGTATAATCAAAGATGAAAAAAAGAATTTATAATACTATTCGAATTATTTATATTTTTAGAAAAAACGTTTTGAAATTGCTTTTAATATTGCTAGTAGTATTGGAATTGTATCTATATTAGTAAGTCCATAGACAGTTTCTTTGATTTGATTTGATTCTGATTTGTTAGGATGTTGATGAAATGTGTTCATCGGAATGGCCTGATTGGGAACGTGTTATGTATTATGTTGCATTAATATTTCGTCATTTTGAATGTTCAACATCAAATCAAACAATTTCACCAATATTACCAATTCCACAAGCATCATCATCACCAATGTCACCAACATTTTCAACTTCATCATCACCTATATGTTCAGCATTACGATCATCAAATTCAATTCCAACAATACTTTGTTCACCATTACAAACTGTATAATGAAGAAAAGTTTTACGTTTTTTGTTTTCGTTCGTTTTCTTTTTCAAATCTACATAGTAGAATACATTCCAAAATTTGATTTCCTTTTATTCTATTTGTATACATGAATTGATGTTTTACTTTTATTGCATGATATGATGTGTGTGTTTGATTATAACAGAAAAGCAAATGTAGTTTTCTTTTTCTTTTTTTTTGTTTGCTTTTTTTTATATTATATTATGATGATGGTTAGAGATACATTTGCAGCTGATTTATTTTTATTTGGTCTTCTAACATGATTTTTCTTTTGTTTAATATATATATACATATAAATATAAAGTAGAATTTTGATGTAATAATTCGATGAAAGTTACTAGGAAGAAAAGTCGATATTTTAGTTATTTGCGCACGAGATTGTTTTTGGTCGTAGTGTCGCATTATTTTTTTTCTCTGCTGACGTACGTAGATAACAGAGGACTGTTGATATCGTTATTAAATTAGAATAATCAATGCAGATTCAGAGAACAGTATGGATTGTAAAAACAAAGTTGACGTTGTAGACATGAGATCCATTACTATTCACTGGTCTTCTCACAAATATTAGAATAAATAACTAGACAATAGAAAAAATCATTTTCTCGAGTCTATTTGAATCAATCGAGCTGATCTTATTTCTTGATAATAGACGACTTGTCAAATAGATACTGCATATAACTAGCACTATTGGTTAAAAGTATCTCACTATGCAATCTAGGCCATTCTTTGGACTAGACGTGTGAAAATTTTAGCTCTTATGAATATCTGAGTTGTATAAGTCCAGAAGGAAAGAAGTTTATGATTTGACGAGCCTATGATCATGTAGTTCTTCAATGTAGTTGTTTACGATATAAATTTCATTGAATTTTATCTAAGTATTCAAAAGTTATTGAGGTTTTGCATAATAATAGATTGCATAGATCATACGATTCTTGCTTTGTGTAGAGCTCATAGTGAGAAGATCTGTCATGCATTATTAGTAATCGTCAAATTGAAGCAATCGAGAGAGAGAGAATTGATCTCGTTTGATTACACTGCTAAAGTAGCACATATGCTTAAAAAAACCAGTATCTAATAGCCTTACGAATGTCTGAGATAGTTTCAGCTCATAACGTATTTCTTTATTGAGGTCAAGAATAACAACTTTAAAGAGTTCTCTATCATCAAGATAAAGGCCAACATGATTTTGAATATTTTTGTATCATCTAGTTATTTATAGGGTCACTTTGCATGTTCGATAATAATTGTCGAATTCGTTCCTTGGAATCATGAACATCGAAATTGGAGATTTTCAAGTAACTAAAGTCAACTTGTAAATATGACTTTTCTTCGATAATCAATTTAACAACAGACAAATATCTGTAATTATGGGATCATCAAAACACACAATAAATAATTTCCACTAGAGAAAGAAGTTATCTTTTGAATATACTAATACAGATAAACAAATCAATTTTTCGTAAGTTTTTTCTTTTTTTTTTTTGTCCAAGGAATTCAAAATAATGGCAATCAAACACACATATCAACAACAACAAAAATAGAACTAAAAGTTGATTATTTGCCATTCTTTTTTTATGCTTCGTCTCATACACGAAATGTGATTGTATGCAGATGTACTAAATATTAGACCAGGAGTAGAATCTGTTTCAATTTAGATGAATAGCAATGTTAAGAGTACATGATGGTATTTTAACCTAAGAAAAGAAAAAGAACAGCAATGTCAGACTTTTTTTTAATCAAGTCTATGTACGTTTCTTCTTTCAATGATTATTCTAATAACAAAAAAATGCCTATGTCGACACATATAGAGACTGTTTGAAGTCTTCAATTGATAATTCTGCCACTTGTTAAATATACAATGTCAATGCTTGATACAATTTTGACTCACTTTGTCGTGCTTGTTCTTTCTATTCGCTTTGTATATTTATTTTAAAAATTAAAAAAAAAGAAGAAGAAGAAAAGACAAAAGAAAGAATCGTATGATGACTTTGAAATTATTTCTATATATATATAATGCATCGTTCGGCTCGACGTGAAACAGAAATAGCAGCTGTTGCTTATCCCGATTCTTTTGGTCATGAAAAGAGAGGTAGAATTATTTCGAATATTTCTAATGTTAAATTAACAATTAATTCTATTCTCTATTTCAAGACATATGCATAAACGACCCAAAAAATGTACGTGAATATATATTTACTTATCATTCATTGCTGATTCCGGTCAGCTATAGACTGACCCGGATTCTTCTCTCTCTCTCTTTTTATATTGCGACGCATAAATAGAACATATCCTTGCGTGTTCTCTACCATTCTCTGTGTATATTAACAATACCGAATAACATTCGACAGAGAAAAAAAAGGGAAAGAGAGACATAGAAAAAGAGTCTTTGCCACTCTTGTCGTTCACACATTAGCGATGCAAAGAGAAGGAGACAGAGAAAAAAACTAAATCATTGTCGACATATGCACCTACGTATCTTTTTTCTGTTTGCAGATGACAACAGTGAACATGAATGCTTATAATACAACACCTAGTTATATGACTCCTGGTCATCCTCAACATGTTAGTTATGGTCAACCACCACCCACTTCTGAAAGTCGTATTGATAAAGCCTATGTTACATCAATTCGTGGCATTCTCAAATTTGCTTGTTTGGTAAATGAATTCAATAGAGAATAGATTTTCTTTTTCGATATAACTTAACAACAGAAATCTAATCCAACAGGTCAAATATGTAGACAAATAATTGGTCTGTTTATTTATTGAGTATAATCCTACTACTTGAATGTCGTATCAAATAATATTATACATAGTTACTTAAAATAATAATAATAATACTAGATATGTTAATTATAATTTATTTTCTAGTTATTTAGTTTTATTGCATTTATTTGTGTGACATCAACATCACAATGTAATGGTAACCATGCATTTTTGGCTTCTGTTACATGGCTTGTTATTATAATGCAAGTTATAATTATTATTGTTTTTCTTTTTCGACTTAAAACAAGATTTACTGGTATTGATTTTGAATTGTTGGTAAGCAAAAAGAAAAAAAAAGGAATATTGATTGATTATTTGACACGTCGATAGTTAAATATAACGAACAACATTATGATGATCGTATTGTTTACAAACACATGAAACATTATCATTTTGAGTCAATAGAAAAACAATAACTTCCGTGTTGACATTTATTTCTTTTTTGAGGATTGTTATATAGTGATTATATCATTTTTATTTGTAGGATTTCTTTGCAACAACTCATGATGCACTTTATCTTTTGGTAAAGATTTGATTTCTTTTCTTTTTTGTGTATAAATAAAAGATTGAGTCGATATTTTATTGAATATTAGATTGCATCAAGTGTAACTATTCATTATTGTCGAATTCCAGGTCAAGTTGCTGGTGGAGTAAGTATTCTAACATAATAATTTTCGTGTTTTTTTAAATTTTACACTTTGTTTTAAACTTAGGTTATGGGAATTTTTGCATTTATATTTTTGGCTGCTGATGCTGTGACTATTTTCTTGGCTCGTCGAGATGAACCAGCGCCTAATATAAATAACAATGATATTCGATAATCGATCAACAAAACATTACGTTCATGTACTAGATATTCCATGAAATGCAAATTCTAAAAGCGATCGATTTCTGTTATTTTGTTTCAGAATGGAGAGTGTTATTTGACAATTTTAGACATCGCCTAAAGTTCAAATTGTTATATAGAATTGTACTTTTCTTATCAAAGAGATGACTGAATCTCTTGTTTTTTTTTTGTTGCTTTTTATTGGTATTGATAGAGCTACTTTTATTTCTTTGTCTTCTTTCCTTTAACAAATACATGAATGAATGATCTGTACTTCAAAAAAATTAGAAAGTTTTAAAAGTGAAATGAATGATAAGAAATTGGTTTTGTGTATCATATTCTACTTAATAAACAATTCTTATATAGTTGTCTATTTTGTTGATAGAGATAAGTACTTATATACAAAACATGTTGCACTGTTGACCCATGTCGCACATTTGTTCACATTACTGTCAGGTAGTCACTGATATAGAGAATGTTATACTCGATGGTTTATCAGCGACTTTAAGCTGACGATTTATGCTTGTTTGCATAGTATTTTTGAGACAGTAGTTAATCTTTATATTTGAATATTACAGTGAATCTGTTAAAGATTAGTGCGAGTTGATTGTTATTTTTTCTATTTTCTAATTGTATATAATATGGTTGGCTGTTATGTTCAACAAAGTTCATGTGGAAGGTAAGTATGCATATTAATCATACTCATTTACCTGCATATATTCTTACAGAACGCATATATTATACGGGAGACATTTATAACCTTTGTATAGTTATGAGCAACTTTTTTTTGTTCTTTGTCAAAAAAAAAAGTCAGATCGTGAAATTCAATCGTTTTTCATACAAAATACAACTAAGATCACGCTTTGACATATGATTGCAGAATAGGGATGTGCAAAATGGTCCCGGTAAAACATTTCTCAAGTACGAAACTAAATATTTGCATGTTTTGTTGTTACGTTCTGATTAAGAATCATTTTGATTTACAACTTAGACGAAAGTTCTTTAGTGGTATCGACTCTAACTCCATTTCTTTATACTTGAAAAATAAACTTCGATACTTGCTAAAATAGAAATCTAATTAATAAAGAAACGATCGTACTATTAACGAGTCGAAATCTTCAGTTACATTTTTTATGCATTTGAAATATTATATACATTATAAAAAAGGTTGCGTGATTGTAGAAACGAAACTGAGCTCACAGAATCCGAGGCTAAGACGCAAACAAAAAGAGTGACTTTCTAGATTTCTATTGCAAAGATGTGATGCATAGTTTTTTCAATTGATTCGATTACATAAACTGAAACAATTCTGTTTGCATCGAAATCTTTTTTCTATTAATAAACAAAAGCGATTATATAATTTTTCAGGAAAGTTTATTCTATGAATTATGAGCAATGCTCGATTAAGTGATGCTATGGAACATTTTAATCGACCATGCTGTACTGATGGACTGGCCTAATAGACATCGATGACGATGATGTCATGTCGAATAACATTAATACTCATTATTTATGATGATAAAAAGAACTACAATATTTCAAATCGCATAAAAAATAATTAATAATATAGGGCAATGTCAACTTGATTAGTCATGTTGATGAAGTATGGTAGAATGATTAAGTTTTAATATATGATGAAAATAGAAAGAAATTAAAATCGCTTGATAGACTGATCCGTACAATATTAGAAAAACCTTTCTAGTAGGACAATATCAGCGATAGGATGAAAAAGGGAAATCAGATTGGATTGAGCACCTCGTAGTATGTCACAATGAACATTTGTTGATTCATTATCCACACAATAGGGGTATAAACCGTCCTTTTGGAACAAAATACATAGACAGCTTAAAAAAGGAAAGAAGTATTCGAGAAGCGTAGCACCATTTCGGAAAAAACGTGTGGGTTGTGGGTGTTAGTGTTCTATTTATCTACACCTACATCCTTACTAGAAATTGTGTCAAGTTTTCCATTGGAACAATCTACTACTTGAATATTTATGCGACTAATTGAAAATTATGGACGACTCTAATTTATGAGCGAATTTTTTTTTCTTAGATAATCGACCTGAAGAGCTTTCGTGCACAAAAACATTGTAACCATTCTCATCAGAGAGATAACTGTGTTTTGTGATAAATTGCATTACGAGCACGAAAAGTCTAAAGTGACTTATGCTCATAAAATTTTTCTTCTTTATTTGTGCCTATTGCACTGAGTTTTCTCCAAGCAGAAAGTATATAAAGAAAAATCAAAATCCTGAATTTTAATCTGAATATGTGCTCAAAAAAAGGTTTCATGCTTCTTCTTATATATCCAAAGCTTTGATTAAAATCGATTAACCTCTTATGAATTATAAAATTAGTAAGAATTTGGGGTGTGGGGTATAGATGAATAGAACACTAACACTCCACACCCATAACTACTCCATTATCATCTGATGTTTAACTTCGTCGAAGTTAACACTGCATTTCTTCAATAATTTTCATCCAAGAACATTTAATATTTTATTGCTATTTAATTTTCGACAGAAAATCGATTGCTGAAAAGCAAAAGTTAAGACTAGTAGATTGCGCTTGTCTTTTCGTTGCAAGATAGATTGATTGATTTCTCAATTGAATTTGCCTCTGTGGTCTGTGACTTGGTTCTCTCGTAGGTCGAGCGTGGTCAGTGTCTGTTTGAAAAACAGAGATGGTCAAACAACAAAAATTAGTAGAGAGTGCTGTTTACCTTGCTGCTTGCGAGGGCATTGGTGAGATGTTGTATACCTAGGACGCCGATCTGATTTCTAGAAAGGCCAAGTGTAGTCAGTGTCTGTTTTAATAAATAGAGATGATCAAGAGAATGATGAGCAGTGAATGGTGTTCACCGTGTTGTTTATGAGAGCAATGGCGAGATGTTTCGCTCCTTGGTCTCCGATTTGCTTCCAACGCAGGTCCAGTGTGGTGAGTGTCTGTTTGAAAAATAGAAATGGTCAAGAGAAAGATTAATACAAAACGACGTTTACTGTGTTGTTTGCTAGAACAGTGGCCAGATGTGATGCCCCTCGGTCTCCGACTTCTTGATGTCGTAGTTTCAGTGTGGTAAGTGTCTATTAAGAAGGTATGTGAACGTCAACATGATTTTTACTCGAATAACGGGAATAATCGTTGGACACACTTGATCGTCTCTTCTACAAAAACCTGCAATTACAACATTACACAAAGAACTTTTATTGCCTTCCAAGTTTAATATTCTGAGAGTCTGTGTAAAAAACGCAAATTGGTTAAGAAAGTGTTGCTTAAACATTTGGTGTTCACCGTGTTGTTGGCGAAAGCAATGACGAGATGTTAAGAAGATACTTGCTATAGAAATCAGTACATGCTTGATCATACTTTTCTCCACTCGACTCTATCGAAAACGAGATCAAAGAGTCGGTACTCAAACTTTGTAAAAAACGTTCCAAATCCTTATTTAGTGTACAATTGATACTAAACGAACGAAGTCGAGTAAATTTTTGACTATTGAATAATGAAAAAAATTAGTTGGTTCCATCGGTTAGCCAATAATAGTTGGTGATAGTAAGTGAAATTATGCTTTCTGGCCGAATAGTATAGGAAACCGATTTCATGGTATTCGCTGATTCGGCATTGAGTATAAGTTCGAATCGATCGTAAGTGTTAATAATAGCATAGAGTGTTCTGCAGGCACGGTGAACATGAACGAGAATCGTTTGGACATCACAATAGTCAAATATTCGATGAATCAATTCCGGAGGTAGCGTTGTGAGAGACGAGTTTTCCATCCTAATGTCGTCCGAAGTTGATGACTTTGGTTGTGTAATATGCTATAGACACAAAAGGAACTCTAGTCATGATTTCTGTCTGACTCCGCAGATATATACAAGTTCAGTCGTATAAAAAATGATTAATAACATTGGTATAAGAGACTCTCACTAAAGGAATTCAACCATCTTCCGATGAAATACTTCCACTGCATCAATCAATATTGCGCATACCAATATTTCTATTATCTAGGTGTAATATAGTGAAAAAACTTGGGTTTGAGAATGAAGGTAGTACCCACACAGTTCTAATAATGGAAAAATGGTATTAAAATGGATCTGAAAAAAAAATGACCCGAAAGATACATGTCTAAAGATGCTGAATAAGATCTTTATTCTTAAAAAATATGTCATTTGTTCAGTAAATAAATTGAACAACGAATGATAATTTAAGGAGGTTTATAAATTCTGTGACCTTAATTCAGATTCAGAAATAAAACGATAAACTAAAAGACTTGTTAGCGCAGTTCATTTTGCGAATGAAATATGGAATTCGAATAAATTCCTTATGGTGGGTGTGGGTGTGGATCTTCTTTTCTTCTCTATAGCCATCCACACCTCACACCCACGCCCACACCAACACCCACACCCACACCCACCCACACCCACACTGACACCCATACCCACACCGACACCGACACCCCACCCACACTCCCCCTCTTCCCACAGACCGTGACAGACATCTTAATTAATTAATTAATTAATTAGTATTTAATTAGCTAACTAGCCGTGACAGACAGGGTCTGGATCGATCACAGACTGTGACAGACAGGCTTTGGGCCCATCACAGACTGTGACAGAGAAAGTGTAGTTCTAAAGCATCAGATAAACGGTTAGATACAAATGTATTGTAAAGAAATGGAACAAAACGATTTCCATTTAATTAGTAACAACAGATTCATCGTGTTTCACATTTTTAATCCCACAAGGGATTGCGCTAACAGCTTTTATTAGAACCGAAACAAGAGTGACAAAAAAGTGAGTCTTAATCATACAACTAGATTTATTTGCCGTTGTCAAGTTAGGATCATAGTTGAAAGATAGAGACACGAATTGGTAAAAATTGAAAGCATGAAGCAACTACTCTCTTTAGTTAAAATCCATAAAAATCTTTTCCAAGATCAAATTTAACTGATAACCCAGCATAGAAAAAAAGAAAGCTGTCCTCTTATTGCTGA